TTCCTGCTCTTTCAGATGATATGACCTGTGCTTACTTTCAGGAATGAACTCAATCCTGGTCTACATTGGACATGAAGTCTTTGAAAACTATTTTCCTTTTAAGTGGAAGATGCAAGACAGTCAATCCCACGCAGAGCATCTGACTCAGAACCTCACTGCGACAACGCTTTGGGTCATAATATCGTATTTACTTTACAGGAGAAGGATATTCTGGAAAATCTGATAGAGGTGGTCAGGGTGTAGCAGGCCTAGATTCTGGTGGGGCAAGTGCGTAAGGTGCATTCGCCTGAAACACTGCCACTCACGCTAGGCTGCGTTACTAAAAAGGGATGCTAGTTCAAGTTTACAGTGCCATGGAAGCTGTCATCAAGATTTTTATGTGACTTAAGGGAAAGTGTTTTCCTATTTAGCAAAAACTTACTAGTCTGCTGCGGTTGCTCTGTTTTCTGTATTTTGTAAATATTTTACTGATCTCCCTCCTTCACGTAGAGAAACTGAACATACTGCGACAGTTGGGCAGAGACAGCCTGATGGTGCTTATGGAAGGAGCTGCAAGGGGGTATCAGAATGGGACTGTGGTAACTGTTGTTGCATCTGACAAGGCAGCCCCTAACTCACGTGGTCTGGGGTTTGTATATACCCTGGCACCTGCCGCACGCCTGCGCCACTCTGGCTACTGGCACACATTTAACTCGGCCATGGTTGTGACTCGGGAGCACTGGCAGCATCTTCAGCACTGCGCTTGGGTGGGTGGTGCAGCGACTCTGGGAAAGCTCAGGGGCACCCTTACAGCGTGCTGTGGAAAGTGGGGACTCAACTGATCCTTCTTCATTGTGTTCCTCAAGTGTGGTCTTGGATCAAAACCTGAGGTTTAGGATCTGCTGAAGACTGCTGCCAAAGATCTCTTCTGTGGGCTTATTAATCAGCGTGCTGCTCCTACAGGCTCAGCAGCCCATCTGTGCGTGTTCTGGGTCTTTCTGTTACGTCCCTCTAGCATGGGTGAGGTCTGAGTTTCACATGCTACACTCTAAGAGTGCAAAAAGGACAGTTTCTGTTGACCTTGTATAATCACTTGGATATTACCAAAGTTTGATCAAAGCAATCCTCTTTATAAATGGATTTAGGTAAGGGCCCTGAATCTGAAAACCAGCAATACAGGTACAATTCAGCCAAAAAAGAAGAGAGAGCAGACCAGTTCAAAGTAAGGTAATAGTTTTTGGAAACTCAGGAAATTCACTCATGCTGTGATTTCCAAACTACTGCTAATAAAAAGCCCAAAATAACCTGCTATGTTCTCTTTGTATGTATAAAGACAGGAAGAACTACAGTATAATGCTATGGAAAAAACCCCAAAACAAATAGGACATGACAGAGAATTTCTTAAACAAAGTTTTATTTATAAAGTTTGATCTACCCACATAAGAAAACTAAGCAGTAAACAAACACTGAGTAGTGTTTGTATACTGCAGAAACTGTAACTCATAGGGAACTCCTTTGACTCTCTGGACAGGTGATTTTCCACTGCCCCACTGCTGTTCATACAACTTGAGAGCCTTCCCCTCTCTCCACTGCATCACGATCCAGTCCATTCAAGCCAGAGTCTGGAGCAGCAGTATTTTCTCATTGATGCAGAACCTATGCAAGACCACCATGAGATTTTCCCCACAGCGCGAGACCTGGCGCTCCATGGCCAGGCGGAAATCTTCTTTCACTCCTTTAGTTATACCCCGGGTAACGGTATGGTGCCTTGAGCCATGAAGGAAAGAGACAGACAAAAATCAAATAAGGGCTATTTGGTGCACTGCAGTCATTGAAAAGGTACTGCATGTCACTTACTGTGTATCCTCTGTCCACACTCAAGTTTATATAAGGAGAGACAAATAGCCTTTTTTTTAGAAGTCCCAAAGTCTTTGCTTTCACTGCTTTGATTATGATTGTTGGGGAGGTGGAAACTATGCTGCTGTTCTGGCTAACAGGAAAATCTGTTCTTTTAACCCAGCTTGTATGGGGAAAGGAATTGTTGGGTTTTTTTTTTTTCTACCTTTGCTGCTCAGGCCACTTCCTCCTTGTAGTCACTTCTATAAATGGTTGGGGTTGAAAAAAAAGAGTGAAAAGATAAACCAGCTTTCTCTGGAGGAAGGGGACAGATGGCTGCCACCATAAAGAGCAGAGGGCATCTGGTACCAGTAGCAAAGTGCAGGAAGGAGCTATGTAATCCTGTGGGCACTGATAACTCTTGGATGAAAGGTGCAGTGGACACTTCACAGGCCAACACAAAGCGCAAATCAAGCCAGGCTGTGAGTCTGCATGAGAAGCCAGCTCTTGTAGAGATACTAAGCACCAGGCAGGGATTACATTTATTCTGTGCAGAAGTTCAGGACTTGTGTTCAAAGAGAACAAAGGTCCAGCTACTGAGCAAGCTGAAGTGATACTGGCTGGGGAAACTCTTGGGATGTTGCCCTGTCAAAGGCTGTTCTTATGAACAGTTCTTTGTCCTCACGCTGGCCTGTAGCACTCAATACCTAAATCTTGTCCTTAAAACAATGTTCTGCAGTGCCAAAGCACTACACTTTACTTGCACTGGTCCAGAACTGGGTAAGTAAGATCAAGACTTGGTAACATTTACCTGCAAGCCCTACTTGGGAAGGGAAGCAAAAGATATGCCCTGAAATGAGAGTCTTAACACTACTCAAGGAGCAGCATAAATTAACTTGAAGAGAAAAGCATAATGCTAACGTTGAGAGTAGTCCTGAGCCCTGGGTAAGAAGGGAAGAGCTGGACCAAACCCAGCAAGCACGCTGAAAGGCAGAAAGGAAATTGAAAAATAAAGGGTGAGTGCACCTATGCCAATGGAGAGATGCTGGAAACGAGAAAGGGACAAGTCTGGGAATTACCCTCACTGACAATACCACCCCTCCTTCACTTAAAGCACCGAGTCCAGCATCTGAGAAAAGACTTCTCTGTTAAAACAGTAGAGACCTCTGTCATACGTGGAAGAGGCAAAGAAGAGACTGGCCTGGAGACCACTGGGCAATTCATTGATGAGCTAGGCTGAGTGAAGCAAAAGTGCACGGAAAACACTCCCCCATATTCAGAGGTTATTGGATAAGCCCCGTTTTCCATCTTTACTGTCTTAAAACACTGCTGGCAGCTGAATGCTATGGTCAGTGACAACCTAAAGGAGAATATGCAACCTATAGCTACTGAGCAAGCCAGCTGCGCTTTTGGAGATGTGTGTCATGTCACACCTGGAAAACAGACAACAGAATTCAGAACAACTTAAATGAAAAAGTAGCTACAAATGGATCCAGTAACCAGTATCTTGGAAAGAAAGGGTTATAACTCCTGCTACTACATGACTGAACATCGGGATAATTTTGCAGGTTTTCTACATTTTTGTTTAAATTCAACAGTGATTATTAAAACTGAAAGGACACGGATACTGGCAACTTATGGGAAAAAGGAAAATAAATGTTATAATAGAACAACATGGTTTGCCAGGCAATGTGGGCACAAATGGAGAAAAAAAAAAGATAAATACTGAGTAACAAATTGCTGAAAACCATGGGCAGTAAAACATGTTGACAAAACACAGCACACTATGAGCAGGGTTTTTCCACTTGGTACCTGTCAGCAGTCTGTATGCTGGGCTGTAGCACAGGTATGAATTCCTGCTTTTGTAACCCCATGGGAGGGCTAGAAGTCCTTTAAAAAACAGCAAATAGCAGCATTCAAACACCCACACACCAACTCCCCCTCCGGTGCAAAACAACTCCAGAGAAGAGCAACGAAGAGCTAGGCTGAGATCACACAGCGATATGACCACCGAGCAGCCGAAGGGTGCGGGACCCTAACAGCATCAAACATGCAAATATCCCCAGATTTCATTGCCAGGCTGTTCTGCAACTGTGGTCTAAATATCTGCACATATTTCTGGACAGTTACACCAGGAGAAAGGACAGTGCTAGGTGTCACAGTTGTGGGATGATGAACTGTCCTAGCATTTCCAGGAAGCGTGTCAGTCAAAAATGTACTCGGAGGAGCACGGCAGGCACCGCAGCAGCCCCGCAGAGCTGGCACCAGTGAACCCCGAGAGCCCGCGACTGGGAGTTCAGGGATTTGCTGCTGAGCCCAAGCCGGGTGCATGCACAGCGGGTATCGGCCAAGTTCAGTGCGTGACAGTGTTTGTTACAGGTTGCCCAAGTATCTTTTCATTAGCCCACGCGTGGCCCTTTTCACCTTTTCCAACTCAAACTGCTACAAAAATGGCTGTTAGAGGACAGCACAACGTCAGAGCACAAATGCTTGCTCAGAGCAATGTCCCATTTATGACCAGGGCCACATGAACTAGCCACCAAAAGGTGTCTCAGCTGAAAGTCTGTCTTCTCTGTGACGTCCTTATCTCCGTGTGCTATCTATAACGCAAGATAATGACCTCACATGTCCAGCCTAGAGCAAATCCAATGCCCCACCTAAGAAGAAATGAGAAATTTGGTATATAGAGAACAGGTTTAGTTTCTTAACATAAGTCTTTCAAAATGTGACCTGAATCTTTTTAGGCCCCCAAGTGCCAAGTGCATTGTTCACCCCATAGACGCTAAGAAAGGAGCAGAGAAGCAAGACTCACACTTACATACTTATAATATCGAGTTGGGTGCCTCCCTTCAGATCTCACAGCTGGGCATTTTGGTTAGTATCTATAATTTATTAATGAATATGGATGGAGAGCTATGCTTATAAATGTCAAATAAAGACAGGACATTTTAGTAGTAAAGAAACACTCTACAATACATCTACAATAACCTGAAATAAAATATTCACAAGAGTTATTCAATCAAATGAGATAATTTTTCAAGAGTTCTGGGCATGAATGAGTCCAGTACTTGCAAAAATGGGCTTGGAGAACAGAAAATACAAAGGAACAGCAAGAAGTTATTGGTCTCAGAGTGGCAGATGTTTGCAAAAGGCATTCTGTGCCACTTCATTGCTGTTTGCAAGATCTGCAGTCAGAACTAAATATACGCAAGTGCACACTCAGAATAAAAATCCCACTTTCAAGGTACTTTGTTTCACTTCAAACCAACTGAGCTTTTCCTCCTCTGTTCCCAAGGGCAGATGTCATGGGAATGTGAGTAGAGGCAGAACACTCAACAGCTTTCACATCAGGTTTACACAGTTTGGTAGGCTAAAATTAGACTAATTACAGTAAGACTTATCAAAAGGAGGGACATGGTATTAATCAGTCATTTTTTGCATGTTGTTCTTTTCCTCTTTAGCCTCACTAGCTAACACTGCCACTACTGACACACATAATCAGTAAAACTATGAAACTTGCTTTTAAACTTAATTCTAGACAAGCCACTTAGTGGTTGAATCCAGAGCTCATCATAGAAGTCTTGCTGACTCTGCAAACAGAATGAGCTGTCTGTATCACCAGTTAAAACCAAGACCATGGACCTTCATATTCCCACAATGGACACGGGCAAAGGGAAAGCTTACAAGCTCTATGTATATTTTGCAGGACCTGATTATACATCTGCAGGCTACCAAGATCTTACTCCAGCTTTTGAAAACCACACTGCAGTTTGCTTTTCTAAGTTCAGAAGAATGAATATAATTTCCTATAAAGTGTAAGGTACTGAGGAAATGTACTAGAGGAAGGATGTGGAATTCACCTGGGGAGAAAATGTCCTGTAAGTCACGAAACAAAAAGCTGTCCTTACAAAAACCATATAATATCTGTAATACATTTCCCATCAATTAAGATGCAGGATTGCTACATACATTCAGGCTGAGGAAAGATCAGGCAAAGGAGCAACTACTTCGTCTTTGGGCTGCTGTGGCAAACTCACAGAGTCTTCCTGTGCATGACTGACTGGTATCTGAGCTGCCTCTGATAATTACTGGGAGGATGGTGCAGCAGCTCATACAACCACAACTGGTGATACTTTTAAAAGATGAAAGCCAGTCTGCAGATTTTGAGCCAAACAACCGTTGTCCCAGCAAACAGGGCCGTGCTCGTGCACTTTATCTAAAACCTAAGCTGAGGGAGGTCATGAGCTAACCAATGCTGTTGGGGTCAACACTGCTGGGTGACACCATCCCTGAGCCTCACAGCCAGTCCAGCTAGAAAAGTATCTGGGATACCAGGGGAGAAGACATCTCCGATTAGTGGACTACACCCTGAACTCTCCCTCCCATCAGCTCTCTGATGAAGTAGTTTGAGTCCTACACATCTCAGCACACAAAAGACACTGTACACGGCTCTTCCAGCTTTATCCAGCACGGGATATTTGACCATTTTGGTTCAATAATCACAAAGAAATGGACCTCTCTTCTACAGCATTACCGTCATTCAGGAAACTTAACACTGGTCAAAAGGAGGTCGAAGAGAGATTTGTCTTGCGAGAAACACTGCTCACTGCCTACTTCCTGACTCGTGGGGTCAGAACAGTAAGTAACAGCTACCACACCAGTCAAAATAAAAGCCATGATGCAGAGAAATAGCGCTGAACTACTGCAAATAACTTGAGATAGCAGCTAAGAAGTTACCAGGTGTGGTCTTCAGTGCTAAGCCCTCTCACCAGCAAAGCTTATTACTTAACATCATACCCTGTAGTACAGCATACCCTGATTCTTGTTTCCATACAGCTGGTTACAAGCACTGAGATAAAGCAAGAGTAAGAGTTTGAAAATCTAGAGCTTGAAAGATAAAATTATCTGTCACATAATTAAGCATTTGTATGTCTTGTTTTTCTTTTATTTAATTACACCTAGTATCTTATTTTTCTGTTGTTTACCTAGAGCTGTGGAAAATCTATTCACTAGTCCAGACTTGGATCCAGTAGTCTAATATTAGGCTTCCATTTTTGGAAAACTTTAGCCCATTTCTAGTTAGTGAATAGCCAGAATACAATGACCCAAAATGGAATTTCAACAAACTTTAGCAGTCTCCCTCTTATAAAGCAAAATACCAGAAGTTCTAATGAACGACCTGGATATTCCAAAACATTCTGCCACTAAAAACCTGCAGCAGATACTTGTTCAGTCTTGACTCAAAACTAAGAACACCTAGGAAGTTAATCCAAATTATTAATTTCCTTCAGCATCTCGTAATAAGCTAAGCAGAGTAAGCTTGTTCGTTACATAGCAAGAGATGACCTGCTAGTTCTGACAGAAAGGTTACTAGAGTTTACCTGGACTGTAATTAAATTTATGTTTCATACCCGAGTTTTTCATCATTCAGTGGTCTTTCATAACTTTGTTTCCAACAAACAGTTCTTTCTGTTCAGCATTACTGTTCAGCAAAATTATTAACAACACCTTGCACTCATGCCTAATTATTTAAAGAATTCCTGCAAAATGCAAGTGTCTGATTGAAAAAGCAATACTGTAATCACTTGAATATGAACCATTCTAAAGCAAATGCAAGTACAAGCAGTTTAAAGTTGAAAAAAAACCACCAAAACAAAAAGAATTCACAGATCAGCAGGACAGTCAGAAACTCATGGCCTTGTCTGAACTCCTTAGCCAACTCCTTAAATTTAAACTCAAAGACATATCAAACTGACTATCCAGAAGATTACATGAAAGCAAAGACAACCAGAACATACTCCCTTTTTTTTTTTCCTCCAAAGAAAACAGTGAATGCTTTTTTATCCTTACTTGATCAACATTGCTTGATTTGGCAGCAGTTCCAGGTGAATTTTCCCTCCTTCCTGTGTTCTTAAATAAGCAAATTCCTCCAACATATCAATATCTGAAGAAAACATTAAAGATTTGAGTAAGGAAAAAATGACAGAGAACATTCCTTCTTATCCCTCACATCTGAAGCCACACTGCTGAAAGGACAGTCCAAGTGGACAGCAGTTGAAGTAACTCATTCTTAAAAGTGATAAGGATCACAGCATGTATTCCTAATCCTCCACAGATTCATAAGAAATAGCTTTTTAAAGTGCAAAACACACACATTGGTCAATTTCTTTTCTTTCTTAATTTCTTCATAGGTAAAGTCAGACAGAGGTAAAGAAAGCTCATCTCTCCAGAGGAATTCCCTGGTTGCTTTTATTTCCTTTTCCTGCATTGCAGGCTATCAAAGCAGTGCATACTGAGGCTGGGACTGAAGGAAACGCCACCACAGTGGCATGTACCACCCTTTTTAGCTTTCTAATTTGGTCCCTTATTTGGCTTTCCTACTTTTGTTTTCCCCCCTTCCTTTAACGGCAGAGCTTTTTTAGTTGTCTCAGATAGGAGTTAGACCCCTTGCTTCCTGGAGACCATGGCTGGATGTCCATTTAGGTTAAACACTAAACTGTCCATGTACATGTATGCTGGTCAAAAAATACGTCAGATACCTGAATACAGAAATCATACGTGCTTTGCATGAATTTTGACATAGCTCGTTATCTTACTCAACCCAAAAATCCTACCCACACCAAGCATTTCATAAACAATAGCCAAAATCATTCATCTCTCTGAAGCACAGGTACTGCTTTTGCTAACAACCATGCAGCACAATGCCCTGTATATCTTACTGAAAACACTGCCATCGTTTGCACGAGCAGCCTAAGCTGCTGCTCTTTTCCTGAACGGCAATGCAACTGCAGCGTACTTCAGGGTACTCTCAAGTGCCATGACAGGTGGCAGCAGGCACAGGTATAGTCCACTGAGCACTCACACCTATTACAAGAGGCTTGCACGGTATGGAAATAAATACAGAATATGATTCACGGAGAGAGCTGCTGGAGCTATCTAACAGCTTTTTCAACACCCCAGCACACAGTTGTGGATGTGAAAGACACTCTCAGTTAGAGAAAGGATACTTGTGACATAGTTGAAAAAATTCTCATACTGGAAGTTTCCTTGTTGGCAGATTTTGTTGATGGCTTTCAGGAACAAGTTCTCACCCCTCGGCCACTCATGCTGAAGCAGAACAACTACGTGGCCCAGCGCCATATCATCTCTGCTGTCCGTGAAAGCTCTGAGCTTCAAGGAAAAAACTGACATTGAAACAATCAGGAAACACATGTTGCTTTTATAAATATATGGGATTAATCTCACCTATATCTGTACAAATACAAAATAAGTTCTTTAGGAGCATACTTCATTCTGCCCTAATATATACATTTAAAATAGGTTGGAAATTTCCAAACAAAATACCAAATTCTCTCCACTGACCTGTAAGGGAAGTCTGCATACAGACAAAAATATTTTGAAATTAATTCTGTCTCCTCTGCCCCAAACTAAAACAAATTAGACAATAAAAAGAGAGAGAACAAATCCCACTCCAGTAACACACTCTCCCCTCCACAAAAAAAAGACCCTCCACAAACCCATTTAGGTGAGAAGCACTTGAGGAACAGCCCTTCACACCTAGTCACACCACTGGGATAAGGTCATGCAGTTTCAGGACCCCAGATACATAAACTAGGCCTAAGAGACACAAAAGAATTTGAAGCCTTAACAGTAGCTTACCTTGAAACAAGCTAACAATAGATGAAGACAGTAAGGCATGATAGCTCTACTGGTACATGGCCAAAGCTTCAAATCAGACCCTGCAACAGAACAGTATCATACACTTCTTTAGGCGTCTCAACATTAGCTAAGTTTGAGAGAAATTAGAATGGAACAAAATGAATCTACAATTGCCCATTCTCAGGTAGGGAGGAAAACTTTGAAGGTAAATTACAAATGATTAAAAACATGAAGTTCCACATTTTAAATTTTTTTCTTCATTTCTCTTTTCTGATAGCAGGGCTTTGTCACCTATATACTTTAACAGGTACCAGCAGGAAAACCATGCACAAAACCAAGAATGGATAAAGAACTTCCTCCCTTTTCATAATACAAAAATAGAAGAATTATACACTCAACCAAAATGCATGAACTAAATTGAGCTGACACTGAGTTTGGGATGGTAGCAACTCCGTACCTTTCCTGAATTTAGACTTCACTTTAGGTTGCTCCTCTTGCACTTTACCTCCTTCTTGTATTGGAAGTAAAATACAGCACATGAGATCAAGCACTTTTTCACATGTTTGCTATAAAAAGAAGAAAGACATGATAATGCTAAGTCTAAATTAAAGTTCTTCAAATTCAAATATGTTAATAACGATTAAAAATTTCAGACATCACAAAAGAAAAAAGCAATCACAAAATTCTCTGCTAGAACTTGAGTGGACTTAATGCATAACTTAATTTGTCTGAGCAAAAAGATGTAGCTGTCATTAATCTCTGCGAGCCTACGTAAGTCATTTTAAATGTGAAAAAATATGCATTGGCATTCTTCATGTCAAGAGCCTAAGATCAATACAACTGCAATCAAAAACTATTTTATTTTGAAGGATTAAGTTTTCAAATGGATCCTTAGAATAGTTTTTAAAAGCTTGTTCTGTCCATGGTAAAAATAGAAAAGAAAATGGCAATCTGACAGCATGATGCAAGTGCAATGAATTTTTAATGCTATTTCCTAGAGACAGTAAGAGGTCTATGGGGATGTATTATCACATTTCCAAGGAAACAGTAGTAAACTGCAAGGGACAAAAAGGCTTGTCCAGTAGTACTGGGATGACGTTAGATCCTAAGACATCTAGCCTTTATTATTAGTGCTGACACTGACTGACCTCGGACCACCATGCACTCCTGTAATATTAAAAACACAAAATATATATTGTGAAGGTAAAGCAAGTCCAGAGGTCAGGTCAAACAATATTGTTCTGGAGTCTCTTATACTGTCAGTTGATAAACAATTCTTTTCTAAGATGATCACAGAAAGTTCTTTTCAATAAACCTTTTCTTTCCTCTGCCACATGAAGCCTATACCTAAGAATTTTCCCTCAATATTTAAAACTGTTTCAATAAAGTTAAGGAAATCAAATTTAAGGCTACATTTGCAGACAACTCAAACACTTGTAGTTATGGAAAACCGTAACTAACCCCCCCATATCATAACTACCAAGCAGGCTATGCAAGAGATGCTAATGGCCAGTCAGTTAATGTGCCAGCAAGTGCAATTCCTCTCGCTGTGAAGCGTGGGTTTTTCAGCAGACCCTGGCTTACGCTCGATACCCTGCTGAAAGCAGGCTAATGGGAAATTCAGAGGAAGAAGACAAGCGGGAACCACAAGGCCAGATGGAGAAGGACCAGAGTGCGGAACGCTGTACGTACCCGATACTCTCCAAGGGCAAAGTGGCATGTTGCTAACTGGATTAGCGCTCTCTGATTTTCTAGTGATCCTTGTCCTGTAATTTGCTGTGGAGAATGAGAGCCCTGAAGAGCTGCCAAGTGATGTAGGCTGCTAATTGCTTTTTTGTACTGCCCCTTTAAAAAAAAAAAAAAAGATAATAAAGACAGTGTTACAGTCTTCTGTATACAACAGGTAGAAAGATAGAAATAAAAATTCCTTTCCAGAAAGGTTTCAAAACAGAGCGTGTCCAGGTAACAGGGCTTCAAAAATTTAATCTAGCAGAACACTCTCCAGTGATGTGCTGTGTACAGGAGTGTGGACTGACCACTTGCAAGACAGTGAGAAGACAAACAGAATTCTGCTTTAAAAAGCCTGTTTACAAAGTCGTATTTACAACTGAAATAATCATGCTCTTCAGAGTTAAACATTACGAGCAAAAATGGCAAAAATAAAAGATCCTCAAAGGAAAAATATAAAGGAACAAGTGTTGTTCTATAGACGGCATTTGGAATGAGTACAGTCAGCCTCATTTCTGAGGAGAATGATAAATTTTAACTGAGACACGTTAAAATCTCCTGCTGTTTGAAAATTCTTTTCTCTGATTGTGTTCCAATAGAATGCACCAACAGATAAATAAAAATGCACTTTTCTTCCACAACACCATATATATATATA